AAGTTACAGTACATTCTTTGGTTTTGTTTTTGCTCTACAATCTTGCTAATTGGCTCATACTAAAAAAAGGAAAACCAAACCCACTGCTATTGAGTCAATTCCGACTCATAGCAATCCCCTTTGGGTTTCTGAGGCAATAAATTTTCATGGAAATAGATTGTCTAGTCTTACTTCCATGGAGTGGCTGGTGGGTTTGAACCACCAACCTTCTGGTTAGCAGTCAGATGCCTTAGGCACTGTGCCTCCAGAGCTTTTACTTCCTATTACTCAAGAACAGGTACCTTGTACCATCTATGCAATCCAGCTTCATCTGAGTGGTCATATGAAGGTATTCTTTAAACATTTGGCCTACATTTCTTTGCATGTGTTGTTCCCAGTACAAGTAATGCTTTTCCTTTCTTCCTGTCTAAATCCTATTTATTTTTAAAGATACGATTCAAGTCTTAGTTTGTATAAAACCTTACCTGATTTCTCCAGGCCCTGTTTATTTCTCCTGTTTTGCTTCTTTGTTTGTGTTGTTGTTATGTGCCGTCCAGTCATCTCTGACTCATAGCAACCTCTCCTTGGGTTTCCAAGGCAGTAGCTCTACAGAGGTAGATTGCTCAACCTTCCTTCCAAGGAGTGGCTGGTGCGTTTGAACTGCCAACCTTCTGGTTAGCAGTCAAGTGCCTTAGGCACTACGCCACCAGAGCTCCTTCTTTGTTTACGGTCTCTGAAATCTTTCTGGACTTGTTTTACCCTGTAGTTTATCTCTAGAGTGCAAATACTTTGTGGTGACTCATTTTATATAAGATGGTCTTACTTGCTTAAACAGACACTAGGCAATTTGAAGCCAGAAAAGTTTCTTCATATATTCTCTTAATATATGACACCACACAGAGTATAAAGTTTGTGTATTTTACATAGGTACATTGGTAAATGTCAACAAGTGTACCAAGATAATATTGCTTAAGTAACTCACTGGGTTGTGGCAAGATCAAATATATTCTGTGCTGTGTAAACTGTAATTTGTAACCTGTTATAAATGTTGAAAGATAGTAATTATGATTGGGTTAACTGCAAGACCTTCACACTATGACCCCAGTCTGCCTTTTAATTAATTTTATAGTATGATAATCACTCTTGTCTTTTATTTAAATGATAATTCTTTGCTTGAATCCAACCTGAACTTCCTGCCCCTGTGCCTTTGACCATGGTCTCCTTCCACTAAGAAGTCTCAGCTCAAGCCCCATCTCCATTTGTCAATCTCCTGTTCACCAAAAAGCCTGAATCTCTAGCAATAAAGGGTTGGAGGTCAATTTATGACATAATTAAGCAGTTAAGTAAACATTAGCAGTAATGATGTAGACCCACGTTTGCTGACATAACTCATCAGAGGAGACAATATCTTGCCAAGTGAAGAAAAGTATGTTTTACACCCTTTATGTTTGCTATGATTTTCATCTTCATAAATGCAGTCAGTTGTATTGCACTGGACAAAAGACCCCTTTAATTAAGTGTTGAAGAGCAAAGATGTTGCTTTGAAGACTAAGATATTCCTAACACAAGCCATTGTATTTTCATATGAAAGCTGGACATGAATGAATAAGGAAGACTGAAGAAAAATTGATGCCTCTGAATTGTGGTGTTGGCAAAGAATACTGAAGATACCGTGGACTGTCAGAAGAACAAACAGATCTGTCCCGGACGAAATGCAGCTGAAATGCTCCTTAGAAGCCTGAATGGCCAGACTTCGTCTCACTTACTTTGGTCATGTTGTCAGAAGGGACCAACCCTGAAGAAGAAGATCATGCTTGGTAAAGTGGAGGGTCAGAGAAAAAGGGGAAGGCCCTCAATGAGATGGGTTGACAGAGTGGCTACAACGATGGGCTCAAGCATAGCAAGGATTGTGAGGCTGGTGCAGGACGGAGCAGTGTTTCGTTCTGTTGTACATAGGGTCTCTATGAGTTGGAGCTGACTCGACAATACCTGATAACAACAAAAACAAACAGAATTAAACATATCGATGATCATTAAGATAGCACAGGACTAGACAGTGTTCGGTGCTCTTTCACATGAGTCAGAACTGACTTGATGGAACATCAATGGTAACAACAACAAATGTATATGTATTTTTTATTTGTACTCATTCATTCATTTAACCGATATTTAGCTAGTGTCTATTTTGTGTCCTGTGCTATGTACATAGAAAATACTTGGATTGGTCATATCCCGATATATATATGGAATGATCATCTCTGCTTGTTATGTGACTTTTTGAGTCTTTACTTGTTTTCTATTTGCCAAATGACATTTTCTTACAAAAATTCTATTTTATTTGTTAATAAAGAACTAATATAATTTTTAAAAGCACTTCTTCAAAATGCTTATAATGTAACATGAGCAATAGCATACTGCCTAAGGCACTTGACTGCTAACCAGAAGGTTGGCGATTCAAACCCACCAGCCACTCCTCGAAAGGAAGGTTGGGCAATCTACTTCCCCAGTGATACTGCCTCGGAAACCCAAGGAGGGGTTGCTATGAGTCGGTTCCGACTTGATGGCACATAACAACAACAACAACAACATGAACAAAGAAGGTTAAAAACAGTCCAGAATCCCAATGTCAAATAAAAGAAAGAGAGGAAGGAAAGAAGGGGGAGTGGATGGGAGAAAGAAGAGGATTAATAGGAAAGAAAAGAAGGAGGGAGGGAGGAAATAGATCAAAATCTAATAGTGGCCCATTTGAGGTGGTGGGATTCTTATACACTATCTATTCTAAAGTTCCTACAGTGAACTTATATTAGTTTTAGAATTGGGGCGGGGGGATACTTTTTCTAAGTCCAGTCCAAATGTGACTTTCCTATGAAACTACTTCAGATTCCTGAATTTTACCCATTTTACATTTTGAATCCTTTTATCACCTAGCATTCAGTAATAAAACAAACCCATCACTGTTGAGTCACTTTTGACTCAGTGACCCTATAGAACACAGTAGAACTGTCCCCATAGGGTTTCCAAACAGCTGGTGGGCTTGAACCAGTGACCTTTGGTTAGCAGCCAAATGCTTTAACTACTACACCACCAGGACTTCTTAGCATTCAGTAAACATGATAAATTGAATTTATAGCATTTTTCAAGTGTGACCTTATCCTTAGTAACAGCAGCTACTAAATGTTACCCTCATTCTCCAGAATAAGTTAGGGTTCATAGAGGTTATTTCCTAACAATAAAAATGTATTTTATGTAATTAATTTGGTATTTAGCCAATGCTGACCTAATTTTAGTGGCCAGAATTTCCTCATTATATTCTTTCCTCTTTTTATCCAGTTCTCTAAATTACTAGTTATATAGATATTGTATTTGTACACACATGTGCTCACACACACACTCATATGTATGTATTTGATGTGAAAGTTACAATTCAAAGTCTGTTGCTGTAGAGTCAATTCTGACTCATGGTGTCCTGTGTGTTACAAAGTAGAACTGAGCTCCATTGGGTTTTCTTGGCTGTAATCTTTACAGAAGCAGACCACCAGGACTTTCTTCTGTGGCACAGCTGGGTGGGTTCACACCCACCTGGGTGACTGTTCCACACAGGGACCTTCTTCATTATGTTGCAGTCAACTTACGGAATTCAGGGTTAGACAAAATTTCAAAAATGTAGTAGTCCAAGGGGGGTTGGAAATATAAAAAGAATCTTGTTGACGTTCTGCCTTATTCCATGGTCCACATCATCTCACTGAGTTGTTGTTGTTGTTGTTGTTATGTGCTGTCGAGTCAGGACCCAACTCATAGCGACCCCTCCTTGGGTTTCCAAAGCGGTATCACTACAAAAGTAGATTGCCCAACCTTTCTTCCAAGGAGTGGCTGGTGGGTTTGAACCGCCAGCCTTCTGGTTAGCAGTCAAGTACCTTAGGCACTATGCTACCAGAGCTCCCCACTGAGAGTATCCCACAAAATCAAAAATACCAAACTCACTGCCGCTGTCTTAGATCTGACTCCTAGCAACCCCTCCTTGGGTTTCCGAGGAGTGTTACTACGGAAATAGATTATCCAGCCTTCCTTTCAAGGTGTGGCTGCTGGGTTAGAGGCTATATATGTGCATGTATAGGCCTTGCTTTTGAAATTGTGTGTTCCTCTGTTGCCACCTGCTTTTTCTTGTGATGCTGTGTATTTGAAATTATTTTTTCCTCCTTATCGATGGCAGTGAGTAATAGTAGTAGTAGTATATACTATTGGCGACCCCTCAGAAAGTTAAATCACAGTGATCCATGTGGGGGGAGATGTGAATTCTGCAAGTCTTTCATTTTCTGATGAGGAAATATAGTATCAGTTGGATTAACCCAAATCCACTGAGTAGGATTTTTTAGTTCCCTAATTCCCTGACATGGAGTGATTTCCTTGAAGAGATTGATTTAATCTCTTACAGTTGATGGATAAACTGCTTGCTAAATTTCAAAACACCAATTTGTTTTGTGCTGTTTGACCACCAGGCTGGGTAGCTGATCCCGCATGATGTCATTTATTGAGGATTTTCATTCTCATTAAGCCGAGATTTCTAAGTCAGAGGTGCTTTTTTCGTCTGTGCAGTTTTTACCCAGCTAGATATGTGCCCTGTGATCCAGCACATTAAAATAATTGTATCACTCTTGTTTTAAACATATTGTTTCAATTAAAAGGCAGCATTGCCTGCAGCTGGGTTGGAATTCCTATAAATGTGACCATAAACATTATGGACGTGACTCACGTTGTATTTAAAAAGGGAGAGAAAATTGTGAAAGGCACAAAACTTGATGTGCATGATTACTTTGATACATTGGGCAGCAAAATGTAAACATCATGTCATCAGTAAATTAAGCATATGTTTACTCATAATGGTTTATTTTTGTGTTATGCATATGTTTAATTGTTTTTCATTTTGTTGTATTTTAGGTTTGTCATTACCCTGTTGTTACTTATAAATACGCTGGGAACAGGAGAATTCGGAGCAATTTGTTGAGTACAGATACTTCTTAAACATGATGCATTTCAAAAGTGGACTCGAATTAACTGAGTTGCAAAACATGACAGTGCCCGAGGATGATAACATTAGCAATGATTCCAATGATTTCACGGAAGTAGAAAATGGTCAGATAAATAGGTGAGTATTTTTTCCACCAACACTTTCTATCCAATGAAAGAAATTGCTCTGAGGAGTTATTCTGATTTTCCATTATCCTCTTGAATTATTCATTATTAAAGTTATGCTCCATTTGAAGATGTAATTTGAATTTCTTATGTGACATCTGTTGGGTATAGTCTGCAATAGCAGATGAAGCAAATAGGAAAGTAATTTATTCATCCTTTCAGATCTTTCAATTGAGTCTAATAAAAATGTATGAACACATTGGACCCCAACCAGTCCCAACTTTTCAGAGGCTCTGTGCTTCTGTATTACACAGACTGTTGGAATTTCACTCCATCCCACATCCAAATGCATACTACAGTCATTTGACCTCACCCACATGTTAGTTAAGCTATGGTTAAAGTCACAGTGGCCAACATTCCTACGGTAAAACTACAAATACATCATTACAAGGATCATTCCTAATGTGGATTTTAAGTAACAGTATTAGTAATTGTGCCCTCACAGCTCTATTAGAAACTATAGTGGAGATCTACTATATGAAAGAGAAATAAAAGAAAAGACCCTACAAGTGAGAAGAGAAGCGAGGAGGAGGCATCAGGGTGGGAAGGGCACTGGCCAGGACGCTCAGCCACTGGCTGTGATGTTGGGCAAATCCTTCCTCCAATCTTGAGTTTTCTGTGTTTCCTAGTTTATAAGAGTAGGACCAAATGTCTTTTATACTTCTTTCCAGCTCAAGAAGAATCTATGATTTGGGGTATTTTCTAATCTGCTGATTTTATAGTTGGTTTATGTGAAGCCTGGAGTCTCTGGTGGTACAAATGGTTAACACGCTTAGCTGCTTAACCAAAAGGTTGGAATTTCGAGTCCACTCGGAGGCACCTTGAAAGAAAGACTTGGCAGTCTGCTTCCAAAAATCAGCATTGAAACTCCAATGGAAGACACTTCAATTCTAACATACATGGGGCTGCCATGAGTTGGAGCTACTCGAGGGTAACTAACAACAACAGCAAGAAGCCCTCCTTTGGAGCTGGTAGTGCAGCTCATTAAAAGCAAGGGCCTTTAAAAAACTAGGAGAAAGTGGGGTGTACAGGATTGTTATTAGAGCACCATGATACTGCAGGACTTTGGGGGATCAAAAGGAACATAGAATGGGGAAGAGGAGAACATTACGTCAACTAACCATCTCCCTAGAAATCATCTCTGATGATCTGCTGTGCACTCCAATGTAGCGTGCAATTGAAAACCCGGCATAGTACGCAGCTGCCATCATTTGCCTGCTCTCTGAAACTGTGATCCCTGCCCCTCCTCCGTTTTCCTTCCTGTGAATATTTTAAAGGTTAAGTTCCCCAACTCAAACACATTTCCTCAGTATCATCCAGGAAATGTTTACTGTGTGAGGTGATGTTTTTCCTTATTGGACTCAAGTTTACTTTTCTCACTTGTTATGGGTAATTATTAATAACAACTATCATTCCTTGAGTGCCAAGTATTTTATATTTATCACTCCTTATCCCTATAACCAAGGAGCTCTGTTGGTGAGTGGTTAAAGCATTCGGCTGCCAACCAAAAGGTTGGCAGCTTGAACCCACCAACAACTCTGCAGGAGAAAGATGAGGCAATCTGCCTCTGTAAAGATTTATAGCCTTGGAAACAGTTCTACTCTGTTCTGTAGCGTCTCTGTGAATCAATTTGATCGTAGTGGGTTTGGTTTTGGTTTGAATCCTTCGAGCCATCATGCAAAGCAGGTATTCCTTTGCAAATGGGGACAGTTTAAAAATTCAGTTTACAGATGAGAAAACTGAGGCTTGGAGAAACAAAAGTAACTTGCCCAGACCAAAACAAGCAAACAAACCCATTGCTGTCGAGTCAATTCTGTCTAAAGCCCATGTCCTTCTATTCTACCCCACTGCCTCTGATTGTAATACTCACGGTTTTGTGCAAAAGCTGGTCTTTAATAGTTCTATTAAATTGCCATTTTATGCTCTATACTCCTGTAGTGTTCCATATTCACTATTGAATTCCACTTAGGGTGGAAAGCATTGTCACCATTTCTTAAGTAGGAAATTTTGGTTTTATAAGAAAGCTTCATTCTCAAAGCAATACAAACCTTGTTGTTATTTGCCGTCGATTAGTCAGACCTGAGTCATAGGACCCCTCCTTGGGTTTCTGAGGTGGTATCACTACAGAAGTAGACTGCAGTGGTAATTGGGCCTACCTTCTTCCCATGACTGCTAACCAGAAGGCAGGCGGTTCAAACCCACCAGCCACTCTCCGGAAGGAAGGTTGGGCAATCTACTTCCGTAGTGATACTGCCTCAGAAACCCAAGGAGGGGTCGCTATGAGTTGGATCTGACTCGACAGTAGTGTGTTTTTGCGTAGGTTGACCAGGAAGCTCTGGTGGAATAGTGGTTAAAATACTCTGCTTGCTAACGTAAAGGTCAGCTGTTAGAAGCTACCAGCGCTGCTCTGTGGGAGGAAGATGTAGCAGTCTACTTCTGTAACTATAGTATTGGAAACCCTGTCGGGCAATTCTCCTCTGTTCTGTAGGGTCACTATGAGTTGAGTCAACTTGAGGGCAATGAGTTTGTTTTTGTTTTTTTATAGCTTGACCAGGCTTAATGTATTAGACAATATCAGTAGTCCATGATCAGGGGCAGATTACCCAATAAGCAAAGTAAGCACGGGCTTACTGTTACTATAGTAAACAGTTTCCACCCTGCCCATGATTCTTAAGAAAGCCACACCTAACCCTCCCCACTTCTTGCACTGTTGTCATATTCATGGGAAGAAGGTAGGCCCAATTACCACCCCCCCCCCCCAAAAGGAGCTCTGGTAGGCACTTGACTGCTAACCAGAAGGCTGGCGGTTCAAACCCACCAGCCACTCCTCGGAAGGAAGGTTGGGCAATCCTACTTCCGTAGTGATACTGCCTCGGAAACCCAAGGAGGGGTCGCTATGAGTCGGGACCGACTCGACGGCAAATAACAACAACAACAACCCGCCCAAAAAAAAAACAGTGAATGTCTAGGTAACAGTGCCACTTTTTAGGAAGTTAGAGAAAGTGTTGACAAGAAGACAGGATAACCATTGATCTCTGATTACTTGCCACCGAGGTGCAGTTTTTCTTGGAAATTCCTCACTAGGACAATGTATGAATGATTTTTTAAAAAAAATTAGTTAAAAATAGTCAGACCTTTTGGCCTTAAAGAATTCTGCCCTTATTCTAGTTCAATTGTTTTATTTCATTCCCTGAGTTTTGAGTTGTCACAGAAACCTATACTTGGAACTGCAAAACCTTTCAAAATGTCTGTTAGACCAGTGCTGCTGATTTTTTCAAGTGTATATGAAACACCTGGAAACCTTGTTAAGATGCAGATTCTGACTGAGTAGGTCTGAGATGTGGCCTGAGGAAATAGTCATATATTTTAATGTTTATTGGCTCTTTTCCTTGTCCCTACATATAGTTATTGTTCTGACCCTGGAAACTTCTAAAAGTATTGAGAGTCTCTCATAAATAATCGTTCTTAAAAGAATTTGGGTCAACTCTTATCACTACACCCTGCATCAGACTTTTTGTCTTTGTATATCAGAGTTTATATATTAAATTTTTATCATTTGGGAATAGAAAGACCCTTGGAAAAGTATCCATTCTCTTCTAATAAGTTTTATATACCTTAAGGAAGAGTCCATAGTCATCCTATAATCAATTTCCAAGTAAAAAAATTCTTCCTTTACTTTAATCGGTCTTGTTAAATGACAGTCTATTTCTCCTATTTTTGATAGTTTGTCCACCAAACACTTAGCCTTCTTTTCTCATTAAATGTCTGCCATTTCTTTCCATATATTTTCTGGTCTTTCTCTTACTTGCTTCTCTCCTCCCATTCTTTTTTCCTTTTTTATAGCACCTTAGAACTTCAGGGAAGGAACTAGGAAAGGTCATTTAAGTTCACCTACTTGTGTCTTTTGGATTATGAGTCATTGAATAAACCTGACTGCAAGAGGTGAAAATAAGAAGATTATCTTATGTGTAGAACCCATCATTAATTGGATTGTTGTTGGTGGTATTGTTGTTAATTTATTTTTGTTTTAAAACAACAGCACTGTATCACTCACCTCTCCTCACACTGTGCCTCAGCATATGCCACATCATTTGTTGTTATAAAAAATAACATGTAACACAACATTTCCCAGTTCAACATTTTTTATATGTACAATTCAGTGACACTAATTACATTAATCTTATCATGAAGCCACCAGTGTCCACTGCAAAATGTTTTATCACTATAAAAAGATACTTACCATATTTTCATATATAACACTCCCATTGTAAATAACATGCACATGCATATAACACACAGCACACATAGGAAACTAACATGTGAAGGGGTGGTGCAGTTTGCAAAAAACCTGGATAATATGCATGTTATTTGCATTAAAAATAGGGTAGTGCTTCCTAAACAATGTCTCCTCTTTTCCCCTCCAATAAACTTTGTTCTCTATACACTATACTAGATATTTCATTAAGCGGGATTGTACGATATTTGTCCTTTTGCCTATGTCCTTTTTAAGGCTTTGTCTGTTCAGGGTCACCACGTTGCCTGTTGTCAATTTATGTTTTAAATCAATATCTTTGTCAGAGGTCAATGCTTTCTAACAAGCAATTACATTTTTAAAATGATAAGATAACAATTTGAGATAAGCTGCTTGACCTAATTGTTTTGAAATTGACTTTCCTATTACAAAAAGTTGGTTCTTTTAAAAAAAGAAAGTGTATCAAAATACCAAGTACAGATTTAAAGGCTTAAAAGAAGAAAAAGTTGAAATACCATTCTTTCTTTTCATATATTTTCTAGTCTTTTTGTCACTTGCTTCTCTCCTCCTATTTTATTTTTTTATAGCATGTGGAACTTCAGGGAAGGAACTAGGAAAGGCCATTTAAGTTTACCTATTTATGTCTTTAGGAGCTCTGGTGGTGCCTAAGGCATTTAACTGCTTCTGGTTACAGAAGGCTG